TCGCTCTCTTTTTTCCCCCCCCCCCCCCTTCATGACCCAATTTTACAGAGAGCACAAAGACTATTGTCTTTTAAAAATCCTTAAGTGTGCTGTTAGAGTTGGAGGTACTGCTGGCAGTTTAACCATTGTGTTGCCATGACAACACCGCATCCATCAAAGCAGTGCACCAGTAAAATTCTTGTTTCCCCCATTACAACCACAGATCATCACGGAGCAGGTGTCTCTGTGGCACAGAGATATAACACGACTGTAAAACACGTCAGTGCCAGTGATCAGGTCATGAGTGTAGTAGGAGAAAGGGAGGATTGAGAGGGTAATGTATGCATGCTTGTGTGGGTGCGAAGACTCTGTGGGTGACTTTGCATGCCACCAGCAGAAGGTCACTCATGGTGGGCTTCCCAGCTGTAGCTTTATTATTATGAGCAAACATGAAGCAACTAAATCTATTATGCTCTGCTCTATTTGTTTTTATTGAAAGTAATTGAACTCATGCCATCCCATAAATGCTTTAGAATAAATAGCTGTGGCTGTAGAGTGGATGGATATATATATATATATATGGTAGAATATTGTTTTTCTTATAGTTTTCATGTGAAACACTGCTCAGATGTAACTTTCTAAAATCTTACATTTTCTGGAAGTATCCATAAACTGCAAAAAATCATTTTAGGTGTGTTTTTTCAACTACTGAGTATGTTAATCATAATAATTTGTGAGGAAAATATTCTGTTCTTCCCGTCTAACACCCACACAAAGAATTCATTTTCTTATTTTTCTCCCCTCTAGATCTTTTCTGCAGTTTACCTCTGCTGGTTTTATTCAAAATCCCTCCGGGTCTTTTTCTTTTGTGATGATTCAGACCTCGTATTCACCTCTCTACTGTTGCGTGTAAAACAAACATTTGTTGAGGAAAAATAACTTTCTTATGTTTATGCACATTTAGAGGTTAAACGTACAATAATACAAAAAAAGGGAAAAAGGCTTTTAAAATAATCTCCTAACAAAGCAGATTATTCATTATAAAGGTTTTTAGTGATTAGACAAGCTTTAGGATTGAAACCCCCAATGTGAAAGCAAAAGACAAGAGTGGGACAAACAAACTCAATGCATAAAACCCTGGAAGATCTAAAAGTCACTGTGAAGAAGCTAGTTATTTAAAGATGCTGTAAGTGTTATTTGTTTATTGTCATGAAATGTTCCTAGTACCTGTTAGGCCCCTGTATCACTAACACAGGTGTTCTGAGCAATCACACCAGTCTCTGTGACATCCTTAGGCTCTGTGAACAGCAAAAAAAGTTTTTTTTTCCCTTTCCATCAAATGATATATATGCCATATTGTAAGTTGTTATTCTCTCACATCTTAGCATCCAGCCTTGCTCTCCATGGAACATTTAGTTGAGAGATGAAACAATTGGTTTGAACTGGAACTTTTCAATGAATCAGTTGATTTGACTCACAAAATCGATCTGAATGATTCTCTCACAACTCATGATTCGGGTCTAAGATTCTGACTCAACACTGAACAACAATCAGAGAATAATTACTTATTTTAGTTCTTCACAACACTAATGTATGGCTCAAGTATTTGAAAGTAATAACCATTGTGACATTTTACACTTTTACACTTTGTAAACTACAATGATAAAAAATGGTGTTGAAAACATTTTCACTCGGCAAATAAATTTCACGAATAATTACAAAGAAACAGCAAATAAATAACACATTGAAATAGAAACACTGAAATTAGTATTTTCTTGTAAAGCGTAGCTACTCCTCGGAAATATTTTTTTACCGTGTACCTCTTTAGTTATTTCGGTCTGTAGGCCTGCCTATTCGCGAAAAAAATAGTTGGGCAAAAATAATATTTCTCTATTATTCCACTTAATAATAATAATAATAATAATAATAATAATAATAATAACTGTTTATTTAGACAAGTTTCAAAAATGGTTATATGTAATTTTTAATGTATTATTATTGTCATCATTATTGCTAGGACTGCACTAAGGCAGCAGTGACGCCCAGTTTGTTGGCTGCTGGTTCATCAGTGCGGCGCGCGCGGGGTGTGTGAGCGCTTGGAGACGTAGCGCTGCGCGTGGGTCGCTACGAGAGGTGTGTGCGTCCGTGACACTACTCCACAACACCGATTAGGCATCATATATCAACCTACGGCGGGTCACGGAGCATCGCATCACTCACCCTGGAAACCAACGCTCTTAAACGGCATCCGCGCAATTCTGCCATTCAATCCGTTTGAACAGCGCTCATTCGCGAATACACCCTGCTCCGGAGGTGGCTTTTAATACCGGACAATGACTCTGACCCATAGCCGGAGATAGGGATGGATCCAAGAGTGTGGAGGATGCTCGCCCTGCTCGGTGTGTTTGCAGTCTTGCTGGAGGTAAGATGCCACTTTAGGGCTGTTCAATAATAGCGCGGAATAAATACACCTACATGGCTTTATTACAATTGCTATCACCATGTGTGCTTTTAGCGTGTTCTTATTTGTGTTGCTTTAAGCCACTAACATTAATGCAGCATGATTTCAAAGTGCGCCTTTTGGCCAAATCTAGTTCAGCATCTTATATCTGTCATTGTGCAATAAAACACTCACATGCTGTTTAATGGATTCAAGCAAGCCACCTCCCTCTAATAGAGGATCTGACATGCTGTAGGGAGGAAATGTCGCTTAAAAGATACACGTTAAACATGGAGATGGAGAATTATTAGATGTTTAAATTCAGTTATTTAATAACCTTTATTTGTTTTCTGTTTCCATCGTGAATGCACAAATTCAGAGCTTGCAAACCACAAGGATTCAAAAATACAACACATTGACCCATATTCTGCTGTAAGACTAATGAGTTTGATGAGCGTGCTAGAACAAAATTATTGACCCACACGCATAATGGTATTTCAGGGGATGTGGAGAAAAATTCAGTATTAGGATTGTTTGAAAAGAATGGCTGATTTCTTGGGTAATAGAGCATATCTACACTCAGGAGTCTCCAAACTCAGTTCAGCACAGAAGACAAAGAAACATCCAGTTGTGAACGATTCAGCGTAAATGCTTTGAACAAGATTTTCATTTTTATTGTGGTAGTAAACCTCTCCTAAATGGCTTTTTGTTTTTAGCATATCATAAAGAAATTTACAGATTAAGGCATGAGCGTTATTCAACAGCTAGATAATTGTACCTTCATCTCAGTTCACTTCCACTACATAGCTGGAGTATCTTCACATCTGTTTGGGCGGTGAAACAACAGCACTATGGGAAGGAATTAATGAGTAATATGCCTGCCGTGCTCCATTAGAGACTTTATGCTCCTCTTGATTATGAAAATTTTACAGCACCAACAAATCTTTTGAAGTGCTTTGCTCTTGAGATGGTGTCATACACCGGATTGATTTTATATATCTGCATGCAATTCGCAATTAGACTCCTGCGATACAAAACAGCAGCACACCGGATGTGTGCTATAGGCTAGACATCAAGGTTGTTGTGTGCCTTCTTGTGTTTGCAGCTGTCAGTAAGACACACCTGGTCATATGTTCACTCATCTGTGCTATACTCCATTACCACAAGCTGTTTCTTATATAGGTGTCATTTGAAATGGACAGCCAAGAGTTTGCTGTTTAAATCAAGGATTTTTTTTTTCTTTTTTTGATGTATATTTTGCTATTTTAGGGACAGGAACATAATCAAGGCCAGACGCCTCAGTTGCTGCTGTGGAATGAGAATGACAGGTGCAATTATGGCCGTAACTGTCCTGAGTCTGTTGATATGAGCACAAATATCAGAGCGCATAACTGGAGCTTGTTATCTATAATGCAATTAGCCTTGCTGGTGATGCTAGATCCCCAGATCAGTTTATTGGTCATAAATGAATGAAGTAATCAATAGCATGTTTTCATCTACAGGCATGTTTGAAAAATGACTGTGCAGTGCAGGATTGAAACAAAGGGGTTTTAAAGGAATAGTTCATCTAAAAATGAGAAGTTGCTTAAATTTACTCCCCCTCATGCCATTCAATATGTAGATGAGTTTGTTTCTTCATGGAAACAGATCTTGGGGCATTTACCATTACATCAGATGCTCACCAATGGATCCTCTGCAGTAAATGGGTGCTATCAGAATGGGAGTCCAAACAAAACAATAATCCACAAGTCCTCTATCCATAATATTGCTTTCTGCAGTCTTGTCTAAATCAGAAGAAATATGCACATATCACCGTTTACAAGCGAAAACAGTTCTGAACAAATATGTGGGTGGATTTGATGTGAGAGGACAACAGGGGATGGACTTTTTCACTGGAGGAGGCATTATTATGGATTAGGGAGTCTTATTTTGGCCAGTAGTGATTATTTAAAGTTAAAATACTTTAATGATGGAGTTGTTTCTTACAAACATGCAGCTGTGTGCTTCACAAGATGTTAATTGATAACCTGAAGTTGTGTTGATTACTAGTGTATTATTGTGAAGTTTTAGCTGTTTGAACTCGCATTCTTTATAGGAATAGTTCATTCAAAAATGAAAAATTCATTTTATTCCAAACCTGTATTATTATGTTTTTTTGTTGTTGTTGTGGAACACAAAATAAGTTTACCAGAATGACCTGCTCTCTTCCATGCAAAGAAAGGGCTGTCAAACTCAAAAAGTGCTCCATACGACTCATGCTGTATATTTTCCTATATAAGTCCTCTGAAGCCATAGCTCTGTGTGAGAAATGGACTGGAATCCCTTGTATTGAAAGCATTGCTTGACAACCATCAAAACTCACTGTCATTGTATGGAAAACAGCTTGGGCTTTCTGCTAAAAATAACTTCTTTTGTGTAGAAAATCATACTAGTTTTGAAAGACATGAGGGTGAGTATATGATAACAGAATTTGTATTTTTAGGTGAACTATTCCTTTTTTTGGAGAACTGGTAAACGCTATAAAAGATATGTTCAAATATTCTTATGGGTCAGTCTTATGAGTGCTAGGTCAAATTTAGGATGACAAGCTTTATGGTTTCTGATGCTCAGCGAAAAATCAGTTGGGAGAACAGAGTCCAATTGGTTCTGGAAAAGTCAGACTGCAAAACCCTTTACAGCCGTTTTCCTGCCTCGCTGAAATCGCTCATTGCATTTCAAGTCACAGAAGCAGCTTTAGTTACTTACTGCTGCCACAATGACGCTCTATCAGCAATCCTCAGATTTCTAGGGTGTACTCAACCTTGACAGCTACCCAAATTTTAGCTGAATGGTTTGAAAACCAGTGCCAGATTTGATTTTTTAGCTAAATATGAATATTTGAGAACCTCTGCAATTAAAGCATATTGTTTTAGCATTGTTTGCACTGAAAGTGTTTGTGGAACTGTTAGTGGTAAGTAAGGGGGAGCAATTGTGTATTCACCACATATTAATAAGTGCTAAATGTGTGATATCAAATTAGTATTGTGAAGATAATGTATTTTATTTGAGCAATTCATTAGGTCTCCTAAAGAAACTTAAAAAAATTAATTTCATGATTGCATGGTTCCTCTAATTAAAAACAAATCACCCATTAAAGCCACTTCATATACAGATTGAATTTAAACCCCATATCCATATCTTCCATATCCATATCTTATTCGCATCCCAGTCCTGTCTTTCATTGTAAGACAGCAGTTACTTTTAAAGATTAAAATACTAACTCATCTGCTAATTGCACTTCAGTAGCAGTGCAGAACAAAAAACGCAGAAATAAAATGTCAGTTAAAATATTAACAGATATTATCTTGCTTCCCTGTCAGAAGTGACTCTCACAGCTTACTTTGAGGCAGGCAGAAGGGTAGGCAGAAACAGAACGTACCGCTGTTCAAATGTGTCACGTCTAAGAAGATAAAACTTCACTTTTCCAGAAAAACAGACACTTTAGTGTTCTGAACAAATCAGTTCATAATTCTGTCAGCTTTCTGCATTTGAACTCGTTTCCCTTTTTCCCTCCCTGCAGGTGAATGGTGATGACAACTACCTGAATGCAGTGCAGAATACAGGTGAGTCAATATACGAGTCCTTTCTGTTTTAGATCCCATTTTCACCTGGTATTAACATTCATGTCTGAAGATCCTATACAGGATCCAAAACATTTTGTGATCACTCAAACCACATTCAAAGGTGGTCAAAAATGCATGGGACTCCACTGCATTTGTAGTGTAAATGCTAATCAATCCTGTTGAGTCTCGGATAACATTAAAGAACTGGCTTCTTATCTGTCAACGACTGTGCTAAAATAAGTTTTACATTTTGTTTCTGACTTAAAAGAGAATAATTGTTAAAAAATGGAAACACATACGAATAAATTGTCTGGTGTATGCAGTGACAGATAATTTGCTTTGCATAAATGCATATGCTAAATGAATAAATGAATAAATGTAGATCATAAAGCATCTTAAGTTAATTTAGTACAAGCATAGTACAAAAATAACTCCGCATTTTGCTCAGAACGTCATTTGTGATAAGAATCAAATTCAAGTGTGTTTGAGAATATATAGTGTGCAAATGTTGCTGTGCTTTACCAGTATGAAACTCTAATGAAGGAAGTCATGAAATCAGACACCCTACATTCAAAACACACTATAAAAATGTAAATAAACCAAAGATTATTGGAGTACTTTTTACAATAAAATTCACTGTGTTTGCCATTTCTTTGTATTGAATTGTGAAATTTCCTAGCAATTTCTGGGTGAAAATTGTTTCTACACCTACAGTATTTTTTCAGAGATGGTGCATGTAAACAATGATGTATAAATAGCAATGTGTATCATCTGGCAAACTGTGATTGGATCACCCCAAACAGATCTGTTAAATTGCTTGAGGAGCCATTTTGACATTTGATGTATTTTTACCGAAAAAGAATATTTTTTTATTGAAGAGATTGCCTCAGCTGCCAAAGCTATGAACATGAGTTGCACCTTTTTAGTCGGTTCAGGTGTTATTAGGAAGAGAGACATTCTCTTTTTAGAGAACATTTATTGACAAAAATCTAAAGAGTCTGAAAAACATGAGTCATCAATATTTTGGTTGAATTTCCCAGAAAAGAAAGATTATACATTTTAAAAGTGAATATCTACTAAAGGTCACTTTTATCATCTTTTAAGAGTACACTAGCATACACTGTAGAACAACGCAACAAAATGTTAATTTCATGCTCTATAACGACAACATAGACTTTAATCTTTCATGCATTTACAGAGATGCATGAAAAATGAAAAACAAATGCTTGTTCAGAGTTACATTCTAGTATATCTCATTCTGTCAATTCTGCCTGTGTTTGTAATGAGCCGATGAAGATGGATTTGCGATGGGTTGTCTTATGTAAATTATTCATAAAATGGATATCGCCAATAAGGCTGGTTAATAAGGACATTTGGCCTGTGTTGGTGTCTCTTCTGAACTCTGAACTCTGTCAGATTTTCTCCCTCATCTCATTCTCATATACTTCGACAGCGTGAAATTCCCCAGTACCAGTCCCAGAGTGCTAATGACTGTCAGCGCTTTGATGTCACTGCATCAAGACAGATAAACAGCCTGGCCTGGACCAACCAATCAGATGGCTTTATGGTGCCGGCAACGGAAAGGGCTTAGATTGAGCGATTTGGTTTTCACTTCTCAATGAAAACATAAACTGTGCCAGAAGCATCCCTCATACATCAAAAGAAATGGGTCAGCTTATGATTTTATAGTTCCCTTGAAAGTTACGTGGTTAGGTTGCTACCTAGATCTATAGGAAACATGCCACAGTGGTGGTTGGAGATGGACGAAATAAAGAAAGTTATTTTGATATGAGTTATATCCTACGACACAATGCGCAACGATTGCATGCAGAGTCTTTGTTGTGCAACACGGAATGTCTGAAGCTCTGTACATGAAACAGTTGCCATAAGAGACCTCATTTCTGTTTTATTTTGCAAAAAAACCTGTCAATGCTAATGTGAATACCCTGATGCACTCATGTCGCTTCCTGTCACCCATTGGTGCCCCACCATGCATCTGCTCTCACAGTCGCTTAACATGCCAAAGCACGTTATGTGAACCGTATCAAATATTCATTGTGGTGGGGAAATTGATTATTTGGGGAGGGAGAATGAGCTCTCCTATGGCGCAGAGTTGAGAGCGTGTGCGTCCAAGTACACCATACGGATGCTTTGCGTAAATGACTTGATTTCTAGTGCCATTCGTTCTGCCAGTGTGCTTCCATTAGCTCGGAGCGGCACAGAGGGTGTCAGTGGCTGAAGGTGAATGAATCCCAGCCAGACAGCTCTAATACAATGCACTGCGTTATTTATTTTTCTTATTATTATTATTATATATATATTTTTTTTAGCACCCACTCTTAACTGCATATTGTATAGAAGTTCTATTATATCTAAGCTGATCGTTTAGATTTGATTGCCTGTAGGCTTGATATTTGCTTTTAAAATTGTTTTTTGTTGTGCAACGAAATTGAAATTCTCTATGGATGGAAGACATGTTGGATGGCTCTCTTTGTGTTACCCAAGATTTGATTGAATCACTTGTGTCCTTTATTTTTGATAGTTGACTCATAAGGTCATACTTTAAATAATTCTTTTTAGAAACGAGCATCAAAACATCACAGAAAAGACTCTCTCAGCCCGTCTTCCTCTTCCGTGCATCTGTGCCAGTCTTTGCTTTCTCAAACAGCTTTGATGTTTCATCCCCCACCTTATGTTAGATCAGTGTGTTTTTGGTTTGGAAAGGAGAAGAATGTCAGTATAAGATGATCCCACAAGTGTTGATCTTTCAAGGAATGGCTATTTGTGAATGAGCTGTATGTGTTGCATTATCAGATCCATGGTAGAGCATGCATCCTACATGCATCTCTCTCTCTGATTCCCCATTGTTTCCCTTCCCCCAACCTTTTCCATGTTGTAGGAGTCATTAACACCTGGGGATCAGCCATTTTTTCTTGCATCGTAATGGAATGGGATCGAAATGACTGAGCCTTTGCTGAGTAAGCAAATGGTGCTGGTCCTGATGCTCTGACTCCTCTGTTTTACACTCTTTTATTACCTGACCTTCCCTGTCATTCCTGTTGAAATTCTCTCTGCTTCTTTTTATCACCAAATGTACTATTCCATCATGCAGAAGATATCTATCTCCTCTGTTCTCTTTTATGAAAGGATTTAAATGTCAGACGAATATTTCAGTCCTAAAGGGATAGTTAATGCTATCATTATTTACTCATCCTTATATCGTTCCAAACCCGTAATGTTGTTTCTTTCCAGGTAATGAATTGTTTTTTTAAAGAATCATAATGGAGATTTCCATGTAATGTCAGTTATCATGACCAGGGGTTGTAAAATTCTAAAAAGAACAAAAAGCATGATAAATGCACCATATATTCTAAAAACCGTATCAAATATGGCACCTATTGTGCAGGCTGGATGTCAATAACATCAAATGTCAATGCTCATTGAGTGTTTCTTAATGTCATGACATCAAAACTGCACCATAACCAACAAAAGCTGCAATATAGATGAAGACGATTGTCATGTTTATAATAAATAAAAACTTTCATAGATTACATTTATGGTCTAATTTCTATTTACTAGATAAAGTAGATAAACTAGATCAAAGAATCTTGGAAGAAATGTATTACAATTTCAACAAAAATATTAAACAGCTGTTTTCAGCATTGATACTAATTAGAAATGTGTCTTGAGCACCAGTTCAGCATATTACAATGATTTCTGAAGAATCATGTTTTTTATTTTATTTATCCTTTATTTTACAAGGAGAGTCCCATTGAGATGCAAATGCATGTGACACGTGAAATGCATGAGGATGCATGTGAAAATGAAGACTGGAGTAATGGATGCTAAAAATGTAACTTTGCCATCACAGGAAGAAATTATATTTTAAAATATTAAAATAGACAGCCGGTATAGTAAATTGTAATGTTGTTTCACATTATTACTGTATTCTTGATCAAATGATCGCGGCATTGGTGAGCATAAGAGAATTCTTTCAAAAACATTACAAATCTTACCAACCCCAATGTTTTTTTTAGAATAAATTCTCTATTAGAGTTATGCTTAAAACAAGATTGCCAATGGGTTAAGAAAAATAACCTTAATTAAAGAAATATTCTCTGAAAACCAACCTAATTATCTGACACAATTTTGCTTCAAGTAAATTAATCTTGTTTAAAAGGACGTTTAGATACTTTACTGTAAAACGAGACAAAATACTAATTAAAATGAAAATGAATGTAAAAAAGCGATCAAATGCTTTTTATTCTGTGTCACTCTCTACGGGTGAAATATTTTTCAGTTTGTGCCAAACACTTTATCGACAGCATTATGGCGTTTCCTGCCCACACATCTTTATGCATCCAGTTAAGCAGAAACGCAGAGAACGATTTCCCTGAGGTTGGCACAACTCTTTCTGAGAGCGCTCTCTGTCATCCTGTTTTAATATGTCTAATTCAGCTCTGCCCTGATTGCAGTGGGTCTGTCTGAGCTTGCAGATGGAGACATTAATCTACTGCTGCTCTTACACACACTCACACACACACACACACGCACACACTGTTCCTTGGTAATATATGTTTTTCTGATATCACTTGAATGCAGACAGCCTGGCTCAGAAAGTGCAGTCGTATGAGTATGCAGACAACGAAAAACTGCAGACGTGCCAGTCATGACTGTGATTAACAGCCTGTTCTTTTTACTGTCAGTGATGTGTTTTCAAAGGCAAATGGAAGGTGGAGGACCCTTCATATCTACGGGGCTTTCTGGTGACAGGCTGGGGATGACATTCTGCTGAGTCATGTAGTGCTGGATTCTGGGACTTAAAGAATTGTGGGGATTATGAGAAGCAAAAGATCACAGTCTCTCCATCCTTCCCTGACTGTCTTTGGGTCCAACTGACAACAAAGTTCCTCAAAAATTGCAGACAAACATGGAAAATCTGCTGACATCTCTCAGAGGCTTTTTTGTGCAATGTCTGCAGCATTTCACAGTCCATATGGACCTCACCATCTAAACTCTCCATGAGTGCTTCCCATAGTTCTGCGCTCTTCCCCACCATGTGTTTAGTCTTCCGGCGAGAGATGCATCAGCACAGTACTGAACTCAAACGCTCAAGCCCCCCTTAGCAAAGTAAAGTTGTTCAAACTGTTCAAAGTTTAGAACAGCGCCACTAATAATCTTTCCGACACATTATCTAGCCATTCACAGCGTGTATGATGTTGTTATGGGAGAAATGCAATTTGATCCTGATTTTCACATTGCTACAACCCCAAAATTGAGTTAACATAATCGAGTTTGAATTCTGGAAGCTCTGATTTTACATCCAGCTACTGTATGTATGATCCAGGCACAATCGTGTGAGGACTTCTGTTTACTTTTTTCAATAATTTCTTCTTCTTTTTTCCTTATGTGCTTAAATATCATCTTAGTGATTTTTCTTTTTCACTGCTGCATTTAGCTGCTCACTGGGGGGTTTGTAATAAACTCTTCTTTGAAAAGCTTCTTTGGAACATTATGCATTGTGAAAATAATAGCTGTATAAAAATGAATTTATTTTATTTATTTATTTATTTTTTTGCATTGTTGAGTAGCCCTGCCCACAGTGAAATCTCATTGTTTCAAAAATCCTGGTCTATATTAAACATCAAATATACTCAATTTGGCTGTGATTGTGTCATGCCACACAGAATTGTTTCTTTCAGTTTGGACAGACAAATTACTTGTCACTGGAAGCTTGTCAGTTCGTACCTGCTGGGACTTGTTGTAAGTGACAGTATAATTGCTAGCCATAGCAGATGTCTATCTGTGAATAAAGCCTTGTGATAATTGTAGTTTTGTTCACTGTGGTTCCTTATACTCTTCATATTCAGAGGTATACCACTTCACGTTCAGAGGTTGTCCAAAATGCATGTGGCCATGATTGGTGGCTTAACCAGCTGTACACTCTAAAAAATGTTGGGTTGTTTCAACCCAACTTTGTATCAAATATGGACTAACCTAACTTTTGGGTTAAAAATTTTATGTAAAAATGTAACCCAACAGCTAGGTTAGTCCACATTTGACACAACGTTGGGTTGAAACAACCCAGCATTTTTTAGAGAGTAACGTGGAATGGATTATTTATTTCATTATTTCAGAATGTTTTCTGAACATTCAAAGGTTGTCCAGTATTTTTTAAATGCATTTCTTCTTGGTGAAGCGAATGTTAGAGAATACATTAAGGGAATTTTCCATTTTAGCATTTTGCAAACATTATGGGAACCATTATGGGAGCCTTGTCTAATCCCTCGTCCTTTATGCTGGAAAAGGAGGCTGAAAGAGGGATCCAGATGTCCACTTTCTCTCTCTTTTAACTCTCCTGCCCAGGGCTGTGAGGAATCAGTGCTCATGGCTTTGGAGGAGATGTAGAGGCCAAGTTGGGTGTTCCGGAGAGATAAACAAAAGGGCCGCAGTTAGATACAAGATGCTGGCAGAAAAGCCATATTGAAAGGCCGCATCTGCAGCTGTACAGATTGGCAATTTATAGAACAGGGATTATTATTTTGGACTTTAACGACAAAAGTGGATTTTAGGAAGGATTTTGGTAGATAGTGAGCGCTCTTGGAACTAAACCTAAACTTTTTTTTTTTTGCATGCAGACTAACAGTTACTTCTTCAAATGTCACAAAACTCGTAAAATAAATCACAGACAGAGAGCTTTTCAGATTGACATCTGTTTTTTTTTTTTCTGGCAGTACTGTATGATTTGTTACTTTGGCTTTGTTCAGGCAGACAGGAAACATCCGTTTTTTTTTTTTTTTTGTCTAACCAGGAAAAGCACATGAAATACAATTAAGTTATAGGGTTTAAAATCTGATTAAAATTACTTTTTTATGTCTCAGTTTTTCAAGTCAGAATGTCAAGTTCACTATTGTTTGAGATTTACAGAGATGCCCATTTTCCTCACTCCATCCTAAAATAGGCACAAAATTAATGTTTAATATTAATAATATTATAATATTTTATGCCTATAAATATTCTTAGAATATGTAACATTCACTTTGTTTTGAGTAGTGAATGAGTGGAATCAGTGGTTTTGAATACATTTCGTTGTAAATGCATCAAATTGTCACTCATGTTCTCTTTTGCACCTCATGTGCTCATGTGTACTCTTCTCTAGTTCAGCATCACAGCAAGATGTTATAATGGACATAAGCAGAGACTCAATTTTCCCTTTTCTGTCTTTTTTTTTTTCCCACACTGACTGCTACTTTTTGGTTGTTGAATGAGAAATTCTCTTGGCATCATGCTGACTCTCATATTATGTAGATATTGACTACTGTCTGAAAAAATGAATCAGACGTCATCACTTGCAAAATGCCAGTGTGAGCTCAACAGACAGCCTTAAAGATGGGATTTAAAAACTAAATCGGATTTATGCACAGTATAAAATCCTTTTTCTCTTTTTTCCCCCCTCAGTTCCTCTATCCTGCTCCGAGGGCTTCACTGAGCTGGGTTATTACAATGGCACCGTTTCTCAGACCGACTCAGGTTCACCCTGTCTAAAGTGGACTGAATTCCCAGATTACGTGCAGCAGTATCCAGGCAGGGGTCTTGGAGAGCACAATTTTTGTCGAAATCCTGACCGTGAGTCCAACCCATGGTGCTTTTTCAGACAGAGCTCAGGGGCCATTGGCTGGGCCTACTGCGACTGCCACCAAGGTGAGTACTACGGTGTTTCATTAAAAGTCTGCTATGTTCCACTAGTGAAGTAATTCAAAGAGTATTGTAGATATATTTTGTAATATCATTGTTTTATAATATTCCTTAAGGCGGCATCCCACTTGCCAAGTCAAAACAGCCTTTATTTTATTTTATTATTTTTTTTCAAAAATCTCACCCTTTTCTGTCTGAGATCTATCACAATCACTGATAATCTGTGGTATGAAGAGCAATCTACAGTTTCCTGTCATAGATTGTTTTGGCAAATCAATGTGAAACTCGCCAAAATAACAACAGAAGTAACAGCATTTCACTTCTACCGCGTGAATCCCTTCAGATTTTGCTGCAGAATATTCATGCACAGCTTCAATGAAAAAAACAACCCTCACTGTTTTATTTTATTCATTTTAGTGTCTGCGAATTCTAGAAAAACACAATCAGTGTTTGCAATATGCGGCTTTTGAGAAAAAAGTTTGGGTCAGATCCATTAACTCATCAGGGAGTTGAGTCTCTGGGGCTGTTAACGCTTCCCGCAGAGAGAAACACAGGCGCTTATGACTGAAAATCAGCTAGTGGGACCACGGCCTTAGATGTTAGAATATTCTAACATTCTTCAGATGATAAATATGTGTTTTAATACCTCTTTGTATACTGTTGTCCTACTTTCTTTTCCGTCTCTTGGAAGAATGTTGTTTTGCATCAACTTTATATTTAGAAATCAATGGTTGACATTCTTGTGAAGAATATTCTGTATATATCTCAGAAAAAATTAGAAAAGGTTTATTCGTAAAGAAAGAAGAAGCTTGTGTAAAAAGCATCTTTGCTTGCAGTAGAGACAAAGGGTGACTGTGACTTTGCTAAGTAGGACATGCTCCTGGATCAACATTCTGTTCCTGTTATCAACCGATCGCATATTACTGTTAGGTTTAGGGCTGGGATTAGAGGCATGAATAAGTTGATAAGAACAAAGTTTTTGATCATAATTTGCCTCTGATTTTAGGAGCTTATGCCAATGATCTGAAAAAACTAATCGCACCACTAATAAACTGTGTGGTACATCTCTGTAAAGAAGCTGTACTGTTAATTTCCATGTTCAAATTCAGTTCTCCGAAAGATAAAATTATATACAAATACAGAATGAACCATGCTATTTTGGTTAGTTTTATAAATAAAAAAATATCTAAATCTCACAATTTTTGCTATCCTTCCTGTAAAGAAAAAACTGGCCTTGTCTTTTCAGTAAGATTTTATAATTTACTGTTAATTCTTAGTCAAATTTAGAAAATAGTGAGGAGATAAGAATGCTGGTTGTAAATACGTTTATTTAGGGGTTTTCTTGGATGTGGTCTCTTGGGCGAGTGCTGTAAGCAACCACCCTGAACTCCCTAGAAATTACATATCAGTAAGCTAAAAAGAATAACTGAGAACAACAGCTTAATATATAATAATAATATGTATTTATCTCTCACTTGTTCAGGAGCAGTAAGGTTAGCAGGAGGTTCATCCTCAAAGAGTGGCCGACTGGAGGTCTATCTGAATGGCCAGTGGGGGTCGGTTTGTGACACACACTGGACAGACCGTGATGCCAGTGTGGTTTGCCGACAGCTTGGACTGAGGTATGGTTATTTCTAATTAGGGCTGTCATTTTAACATATTAATTTAGTACAATTAATTAAAGAGAATGTGAATAATGATGCTTCGACTGAAACACAAGGTGATGTTTGAATTATGTTTTTATTTGCAATTCATTTGAATAATTAGTAATGTAATTAATTTGATAAAATTCAGCCTTACTTTATTTGACAATCTGTGAGTATCAGATATGATTTTCCACATATTTATGGATCTGTGCCTCTCAGTGTGGTCAAAGCAGGGTTACTTAAAATTCACAGTGTCTTAACTTTTTACTATATCTATTTTTGATTTAGCCTTTGTTAAATCATCTAAATGTGGGTGGAAAGCCTCACGTCGCTGAAAAGTGGAGGAGATAACGTCTTAATATTTTTTTCCGTTTGTTGTAGTGAGATTGGCACGGCTCTCCAGCACTCATATTTTGGCCCTGGCTCTGGGCTTTTTCACTACGCCCGCCTTGGCTGCCGTGGTGATGAGAAATCCCTGCTGGAGTGCAGGAGCAGGAAGTTTGTTACGAGTGACTGTAACCATGGAAACGAGGCCGGAGTGGTGTGCGCACCACCTGAAGGTCAGTGTGCTTTCTGTGAGAGTGAAGCTAATGACCTTTTAAGTGACAAGTGAAATAAACACTCCTGCATCTAGATGCCCTCGCAAAACCATAGAGCTGCCGTGAAACAGAAAAAGTGCTTTTAAATAGCATACAAAGATCATCAGGGTTATTTAAAGTCTGTTTTCGAGAATTCAGTTTCCACCTCTGTGTCTGCATCCTAAGTGAACGACGCAATACGCAACTAAGATTGCTCCCATTATAATCAACAAAGCTGTCTACAAGTGCTTATAATGTGAGCGTTTTGTTTTTTTCATGATGTGTCGTGCTGCACCTCGTTGCTTGCTTGCAGTGCAGACTGGGTGTAAAATCTGCTAATTAAATTACATTCAGTGTCAGTTTTAGCTGTTCATTTACTCTTTTTTTTATAATCTTGACATAAAGCATTACAGTATCAAAATAATGTCATCATTGATTGATAAAATTCTATAAATAAATCCCCTTAATGCTTTATTATGCTTTCAGCTGCTGATAAGAGTAGACTATTCTCAGCTCTATTCAAATGACTATTCAAGTAGACTATTCAAATCAATTACATCGATTTTTACAGCGGCCCAGTAGTGCACAACACAACGAAATCTGCACAAGACAATGCAAACGAGCCGCAACACAACGAAATCTCCACAACACAACGGAAACAAGCCACAACACGAAATTAGCACTACACAACAGAAACAAGCTGCAACACAACAAAATTAGCACAACACAAAGGAACCAAGTCGCAACACAACAAAATTAGCATAACACAAAGGAACCAAGCTGCAACACAACAAAACTAGCAAAACACAAAGGAACCAAGCCGCGCAACACAACAAAATTAGAACAACACAACACACTGGAAACAAGCCTCAACACAATGAAATTAGCACAACACACTGGAAACAAGCCGCAACACAAAATGAGCCCAACACAATGGAACCAAGCTGCAACACAACAAAATTAGCACAACACAGCGAAATTACTGGGCCACCGTAGATTTTGCCCTAAAAACAGCACTGAAGATCTTAAAAAGTGTCTGGATCTGCTCATGACTTGTGACACTATGATTTTTCTTGAATGCTGTGATATAAATATGAAAAATATGATTAGACATTGCTGTAATTGTCAGTTTCTGCACATTTTACTCTAAAGCCGTTTGAAAAATAATCATTATTATTTATTCCCTGGTCACCCTGCATTTTCTAAAAGTGGCCCTCGGGCGACATCATTTGAGTATGTCTGATCTACATGAATAGTAAGACAGAAAACCGCAGGGTGTGTGATGGAACATCATGAGGATGATTATGTTATCTTTGAATTGCCGTTATTGCTGCTTCTTTATCCATTCATATTGACTTATTATATTGGTGCTTACTGAGATTAGACATTTTATTTTTAATGAAACATTTCAGTGGGGGTTTATACTTTCTTTGGTGGAATCAAAGGAGCCATACTTTCTTTTGTAGAAAGGAACAAAGGGGGGGGGGAAACGAGAAAAGAGGTTGGAAAGCAAATCAATGGCGTCTGAACTCATGATTGCCTGCTGAGAGCTTTATTGAAGACACAATCTGAGGACACACGGACAGATGTGCACTGTGCTGGGTTACCAAGACAGCAAATGATGTATAATAGTCCTTGAACTAAAAAAATGGCTGCATATAATGTGTTCCTGATATGAATTATTATTATCATATATGAAATATTACTGTGCATATATCTGATTTTAGTGGGTGGTTTTGTTTCAGGTTTTGCTTCAGTTGAGGAGCCAACACATTACCAATTGTTCATTGTACATAATTATGATGATAAAATTATAGAATTGCATTGCAATTGAATATATTTGATTAAAAATACAGTAAAAACAATAATACTGTGAAAAAATATTATTAACATGACTGTTTTATATTTGAATATACTTTAAAAAGTAATTTATTCCTGTGATGCAAAAGCTGAATTCTTAGCATATAAAATCTTTTATTTTGTTACCCTAACTATGCATAATTATATGGTTAATTGTATTTGCATTGCATTGCAAGTTTTTCCACTGCCATCTACGGCCCTATTAGAGAAGACCTGCAACCCACTAGTTAAGAACCGTTGGATTATTTCACAGAGAGAGAGAGTAATGCATGCAGAGCATTTTGGGTGTCACTACATTTATTGATGTGTTTGTGGCTTTGGGTCATGATTCCTGGTTTGCCTGCTCAGGTAATGGACCGCCGCTGCGGTTGGTTGGTGGGGAGGAGGACTTTGAGGGACGAGTTGAGGTCTTCCATGATGGGCACTGGGGGACCATTTGCGATGATCAGTGGGATGACATGGATGCTGAGGTGGTCTGCAGGCAGCTCGGACTGGGGTGAGTCCAATGTAGAACTAATACATCAAATACTCGACGTACACACCCTGTCATAAATATACAGTGGATGGTTTCAGAGTAATACATCATACTTTTAACTCCTACCTTTTCTAAAATGCCTTTTGCAAATATCTTGGCAAGGTTTTAAAGAATCAGTAGCACATGTTGTCTCTTGTGAGGTATTTTCATTCCTGAGTGCTCTTATCTCGATGAGAGGAAGATTGAATTATTTATTTTGCGCGGTTGTATTTTTTGCTCTCATACACCATCTCCATCATGTTGTTGTAGCAGTCGTAGAGAATAAAGACTGTGAGATGGCACATGAGAGTAGCCTCACGCCGCTGCTGCAGAGATGATATGCACGACTTCAGTTACTGCAGCTTTAAAGCAACTGAATGATGTGTTTGTCGGTTATAGTTAGAACATATTAGCTTTCAAACCGAATATGTTGTAAGAAGCATTATCTGTGTGCCTTTTTGTGTGATACTGTACTTAGTGCTTCTCAGGGCCTCTTGAATTCCCTCTGAATATAAGCAGGGTTAAGGCTGGTCAAGATTAAGGCTGCTGCTGAAGAGGTGTTAGTGAGGCCAGCAGATGCTGCTCACCCTGAGCTCTATGTTGGTCCTAATGTCCCAGAACAGTGATGGGGACAGTGTTCAGCAAAAAGGCACTGTCTTTCTGATAAGATGTTAAATTGAGGTTCTGACTGTCTGGGGTCTGTAAAAATCCCAGTTGTGTTTCTTGAAAAAAGAGTAGGGATGTAACACTGGCATCTTGGCCAGCGATAGGTGCAACAAAATAATTTTTAGTACTCTTGTCAGATTATTGTATTAATTTACATATGTACCTTAAGTCAAGTCACCTTTATTTATGTAGTGCTTTTAACAATACAGATTGTGTCAAAGCAGCTTTACAGTATCAAATAGGAAAATAGTGTGTCAATGCAAAAGGACAACAGTAAACACTAAATTTTCAGTTAAAGGCAGTTCATCATTGAATTCAGTGATGTCATCGTCCAGCTCAGTTCAGTTTAAATAGTATCTGTGCAATCAAGTCGACGATATCGCTGGAAATTAACGTTCCCCCAACTAAGCAAGCCAGAGGCAACAGCGGCAAGGAACCAAAACTCCATCGGTGACAGAATGGAGAAAAAACCTTGGTAGAAACCAGGCTCAGTCGCGGGGCCAGTTCTCCTCTGGCCAGACGAACCAGCAGGTTGTTCCATGCTGCAGCAAAGTTAGATTGTGCAGAGGACTCATCTGGTTCCCGTGGTCTTGTCCCGAAGGCCGTCTAGGAGACAAGGTCTTCACTGGGGATCTGTCTCTGGGGCTCATCTAGTTGTCCTTGTCTCCGCTGAAATTCAGGGCTGTAGAGGTCATCACTAGGTGCTGATCCACCGTCTGGGCTGAATACGGACTGGATCTGGTGGCTACGGTGACCTCGGAATAATAAAGAAACAGACTAATATTAGCGTAGATGCCATTCTTCTTACAATGTAACAAGTACATCGTGTTATTGAAAGTGTTCCTGGTTCCGGTTGACCTAATTAATGCAGCCTAACAATCCTTTGACGGATTTGAATAATAGAAATGTGTAAGTGTGTTATGTGTAAGCCAGGTTAAAGAGATGGGTCTTTAATCTAGATTTAAACTGACAGAGTGTGTCTGCCTCCCGAACAGTGTTA